TCACTGCTACTATTGTGCCTGTTAGCAATTTTGCAACATTCTGATAAATATTTTCCATAAATCAAAGCCATAACAGCATGGAGAAACAGATGGTAAAAGACCATATTAAAGAATTTAACAGTTATTTTCATTAATGGGGAAAGACTGAATCATCATTTTCAGCATGGACTACGTCGTAAGCCATTGTCAGCTATGAAGTCTGAAGATTGTTAAGTATCCTTTTAGATGATTAACCTACATTCTGTATTTTCCAGTGCAGTCTATATACAAAGACAGAATACAAAGTATTTAAAACACTGAATAATTATATTCTTTAATTTAATATATGCAAAGAAATATTAGTAACATCTTAAGGTATTTGTACAAAGATTCATGTATGTGTTAAGTATACCAATGTTCTTCATTTTCTTAGAAAATAAGTCACATTCTTTGTTATTTAAAATGAAAAATAGCATTAATTACAAATTCTACAGTCTTATTACATTAACAATGTTTTCTTGATCTAACCAATGTTAGAATAAAATTATGCGAATGGTACATTAGCTATTTATACACATAAAATTCTATTAAAGTCAAAGATTTTTAACTACATTGTTATTATTAAGATTAAATTGCTGAATTAATTTTAGCCTTGTATGCCATAAGCAACTGCTATGCTGTTACAGGATTCTTAAATTCAATAACTTTTAAAATTCAGTGATCCTATTTTAAAGAATAATATAAAGTGTAACTTCCTGATTATATATGGTAATACTTTCAGCAAAATAATAATCTTCCCGTTCTTCTGTATATTCTACTTGTTATTTATAACTATTGGCTTTAAATAGTACGCAAACCAAATTTATTACTGTGGAAAAAATAAAGTTGAAAATATAGAATTTGTAATATAAAAAGTACAGAAAAGGAAGAGGTAGTGTTGCGAATGCAGAAGTCTTTAATTTTTCTTTCTTAAGCCAGTTGGACAAGAGAGGAAGAAGACATTTGACAGAGAATTCCTCCAATAGAAAACACAATAGAAATCATTGTGTTATGTAGAAACACACATATAAATCCCTTTCTAAGGAGCTAAAAGGTTCCCTTTTATATATAAAGCAGTAGACAATAGTATTGCATCATTAAATAGATGGAATCCTGGGGGAGACTTTTTTCTAAATCAAAATAACTGTTTCCCGATAATCTTTTATACATTTGCATTCCCTATAAACCTCACAGCACAAAAAATATTTTAAGAAAAGCTGTTTTTCTCAAGTCTCCTTGTTTTCAAATGAAAAACCATGCAAATAATACATTATTGGAATGTCAATGAACAATGACACATGAGTTTAGCAACACAATGTGTTTAGTGTGTATGAGGCGAATGCAAGGAAATCTCTGTACGTGAACCTTGCACTAACTCAGATGGACATACTTATCAACATGAGAGGCACAGACGCAAATGATGTAATTCCATGTAACACATATGGACTGTGCCACCATCAATACTGAAGCAAAACTCAGTCCTGCAGGTGTTTTTAAGAAACACAGATGGTTGATATAGCACTGATAACAAAGCAAAATGACTCCAGTTTTTATCCATATCATAGATACGCAGTATCGGATGATCAGCAAATACCTATAATGTTTTTATAAGGCCAGAGACATAAAAAACATTGAGCCTTTAGTTATGCCATTTATTTGTTTATGTATTTAAATTCCACAATATCAGAATAGAAAAAAATGTTTTCATGATACCTAATTATAAGAAAATTCTAATATGACTCAGTCTATTAAAGTAAAAGATAAAAATATTCTTTTTCACATTATGAAAGGTAACTTCTCCCTGACATTACGGCAAATGAGCACACCAAATCAACAAATTTGTTGTTTGTATTCTTTTTGAGTAAGAACTGATAAATATTTGATTTATAGCCATGGGGGGGGGATGAGCCACAAAAGAAGGAAGAGGAAGGCTATTTCCCAATGTCCCCAGCTTACCTGGGTACTTGTTATTAAGAGCTGTTTACCTTTGTAAAGACAGTGATGGTCACCAATATGTCTATAGACTGAGGAAATATTGTCCGTACATATATTCCCCAGAAGATATAAGGAGAGTTAAAGAAGACATGACACTAAAACAAAATAATAATAATGAGATTGGAGGTCCTCATTCATTTAAGATAATTGGTATTTGGGAAAGGCTGTTTATTGTGACCCAATGAAAAGGCAGCCAACATTTTATAACAAATAGAGAAGAAGGGGGCATTATACTTAAAAAAGAACACCTTATTTTAAGGTATTTTCATTATAATTCCAATTGTACATTAATTTTTGAACCAAGTTTATCTAACCGTGCATTAATAATCCTGAGATACTTGATAGTTTTTATACAACATTGTTTGATAAACAATATACCTCCTTCCCTGTTACGAGAAGTCTCATTTCTGCAAAAGTATTCTAGGTATTCATCAATGATCCTAAGGGTCTCTCTGATTTTTAGATATACAATTTGCTTTTAAATTGATTTGCATCATTTAAAAATATTATAGTCTGATGTTTACAGCATTCAATAAGTATAAATAAAGTGATGCACAATCATATAACACATGGGAGGCATAATTTTTGGAGATTAGATGTGGTCTCTGAAAGAAGACTACTTCATAAGGTAGCAAATTTCTTAGTGAATAATCTAGTGTTTGGTACACTTTTACTTTCTTAGGCAATTCTATCATTATTAGAATTGGAATAATTACATTTAGATGTGGGCCTCCCTCTGTCATTATATATGAATTTAACCATGCATTTAGTTCTTGATAGATCACGGCTAAGGAATTATCTGTTAAGGTAACAGATCTGACATGGAAGTTTTTCACCTGGAATCCAAGGAAACATTCAGGAGGCTGCTAGAACCCCTGGATGTATGCAAATTATCATCCATCCATTTTTTTTTTCTCAGAAGAGGCTCTATAACTTTCACTAGATTCTCATGCCTTAGAAAAGAATACTATCTAATTCATTTTTAATCTATTTCAGTTGAGTGGGACACAGCACCACTCTACAGTTTAGTCATCCATTACCCATTTTACAATTCCCTGACATGCTCTGAAGGGAACAGTAATTATTAGTCCCCTTTCTGGATCACCATCCTATTCTAGATTCTATGTCAGCCGAGATTCTAAGCAACAGGTTTCAGGACCAAGCAGTAGTATTTTAACAGAGTAGACTGTGGTAACATAGTAATGACATCCTCAGTGCCAGTCTTCTCAGAATAAAAATGAGAATGGATGAAAATGGAAAGAGAAATCTGCTTCTGTCTAGAATAGTGTGTTTTCCATCACCCCTATAATGTATTCCTTTACTATAATTTGCCATGTTAAATCAAATCGTCAACTCAGATAATAGAGTGGAATTTTGTCATAAAGTTAAAAGTATATAATTTCCCCTTGAAAATCATTCAGAAAGTATATCTAATTCCTCTGTTTCACATGGCAAATTTCAGGTGGATTTAACTATCTGACTTTAATGACTACTCATCAAAATTACTAATTATTTTCCCATGTCAAACTATGAAAATTATGTTGATTCTCTAACATATGAGCAAATGATGAAAGCTCAGGCTGAGATAATCAGTATACCATAAAGATTTACTATTTCTCCACCTTTATCAACAGTATCATCTGAAATTTTGTGATAGTGTATTTTCCTTGGGAGAAATACCTAAAAGGGCCTTTCAAAAATGTATCCTATACTCATGAAAAATTACATCTCAATCAAGTTATCATGGCATCTTAATTTTTAGGCTTCTCTCTCATAGTAAAAATTTTCACTTCTACTATTAGGATTTCACCCTACTTTTCAAGAGCCTCTACAACCTGTTGCCAATACTATTTTCCAGAACTCCACAGGCATCTTGTTGGGCTTCAGATCTTTCTAACAGTTGCCCCATAAAAATATCTCCCCAACTCATAATCACTTTTATCATTTGGTTATGTTATTCCTTTACATGCCCTCCCTTCTGTCTAGTTTATGCCTTTAAAAAAAAAGTTAAATTCTGCTGTTCCCATAGACTCTTTCATTTTCCTATTCTCTGACCTTCTGTTTATAGCTTACACTTAGATTCCAACTCCATGTATCTTTTAACTTTCGTTGTTGTTTCTCACGTAGTCTTGTTAACTCCTTGAAGAGTAAGACTACGTCTTGCTCATTCTTCTGTATTTTCACAGGACCCACTGCCGTTCTAAGATTCCCTCCATAAATGCTCATTGATTGAATAAGCACTCACAAGGTCCAGCTTGGAGCAACATGTTTGTTAACTCAATTCCCAAACATAAAGCAAGCTTAAGAGAAAAAGTTCTTAGAAACATCATGGATATAAATGTTTATAATACATGCTAACAGACCCACCGAAGATCATAGGGCAAGTGCATACAGAAATAGAACATTATCCTCCACTCAGAACAGAAATAAGAAATAGTTTCTGATTCGCTAATGATTTTGTTAGTTGGCAGTCCAACTTTCCATATTTTATCCATGTGGAGCAAAAAATATATTAACAATTAATTAGCTTATGTCCAAAATAGGATATGGTGATAAGTTTTAAACATATGACAAATTGTCCCAGTAGGGGGACTTTTAAATATTTTATTTACTGAAATGAATTATCTGACATATTTTCTTAATGAAGAAAAGATGATTTGGAATATGCTTCTGGTGCTTATTATGTAATCAGAAGAATGAAGAAAGAGCAAGAATGGGTTCCACGTGGACTGTGTGCATGTGCGTGAGCGTGGGTTTGTAGGAGGGAATAAAATTCTAGAGCACACTCTTAAGGAAATATTTGATGTGTTTCTCTTTCTGAACTGATCATGGAGACATAAATATACAAGGATGCTTTTAGAATTAGTGTAATTAAACCATCTAAAGCAGCGGTTCTCAACCTGTGGGTCGCGATCCACAGGAACTATATAAAATGGCCACAGCATTAGGAAGGTCGAGAACCACTGATATAAAGGAATGAGGTTCTAATTTAAGTAAGCAATATTTTTTATAAGTTTTCTGTATTTCATTGTGGAAAATACTCACATTTATTGTAAACTTGCTTTTCAGTGACAAGTGACAGATAACCTACTTTGTAATTACTTCCCTAGACGGCTTAAACTTATGTGTCCACCAGACAATGGAGGAAGGCAATGATCCCCAAATATGTTGATCTCGATTCTTGAAAACTGAAGCTATAGGAGTTGAAGAGAGGATGGAAGAGAAAGACTAAAGAAGGGTTTGTACCTTTCCGTAGGATGACACTTCGCCCTTGTTTGTTCCTGAGGTACACTGCTGAGTTGCTGCTTTTAAAGTATCATAAGCTATTTCTTATGCTGTACCTCTTTCCAGGAAAACAAAATTGAAGTAGATTTAAACTCTGTAGTCTAAAAGGAAAATACACACTTTAGTTCTCAATAATCTTATAACACCTTGTTTTTTTTCTTCCTGTGAATTCTTCTGCTGCTTCTAATCAATCGGTTTTTGATGAACAACATATTTCTTGGAAAAATTAAGCCAAACCAATATAGGAAACACAGAACATAACTACATAGCACCAGCGTGGAACAGCTTCCCAGTGGATGAACTGAGCCTGTTTATTACTTATAACTCATCACCATCATCTGAACTAAAGCTGCTTCTCCTACTGCTCTCTTTGGAAACTGCGGGGGAAATGGCAGATAGCAGAGGGTCTGTTCCAAACGGAGATATTGTATCATCCAAGAGCATGTCATCCAATCTTTGTTCCTCTTTTAAAGCGGCACTAAATGATAAATCTGTGAAGTGTGACAAAGGATCAGAGAAGGCCATCGCTTGATCACAGAGCTCAAGGCTTGGCCCCTGAGGCAAAGTCAGAAGTTGGCAATAATCCACTGAATTCTGTTCCCGGTGGCTCTGTTGTTTGGTGACGTCAGCACCTAAATCAATTGTGCCAAGTGAAGCCAGGGGTGGCAGACCATGTGCACGTGCCTGTATTTCTAGTTCCTGCAATTTCAAACAAGAATCATTAAATAACATCTCTGGAACTGACTTACTATTAGAGAGTAAGTCAGAAATAGAACCAAAATATCAACAAGCATTTAAAATCAAAAGTAATATAAATTATAAATAGTATTTGCAAATAATGGAATCAATGAATTCCTAACACCTAAAAAATAACCATGAAAAAATGACTCAGATTTTTTTTTTAATCTTGCCTTATTGTTCTATATAGAAATGAATGACATACAATGGTCTCATGGTGGCTCCAGCTACAAAATAGCCATTTGGAGAAGGTGGGAAATCTTCCATTCATTCTTCCTGATTAATTTATTAGCATAATTTAGGATTCCTTCCTGGAAACAAAGTGCCTGACCTGACTATAAGCATGCTCAGATTGAAAAAAAAAAAAAAAGCTGAGAGTTGTAAAAGCCCATATTATGGTATCCTGTGTCCCATGAACAGATGAAAAGAAACTTAATATAAACTGCTACAATATACCTTGGGGCAATGAAATCCATAGTCATGTTCATAAAGAAATAAAAAGGGGAGGGGAGAACTCAGTGTCCAGTGTAATGTAGAGAAACAAATGTTCTACTTGGTATTATATTTTGATTGTGATAATAATGTGTGCGTTCACGAAGTGATATATACGTGTGTGTGTGTGTGATCTTAATTCTAACCAAAACCTAACTGAAACAGCCCAATTCATGAACTTCTAACAGGCAATCAAATTATCCTTCAGAAGAAAAATAATTATTAGTAAGAAAAAATAAATGAGACCAATGAATAAAACTGCTGTCAGGTAAGCCATATGTAAGCTACGTGGCTCGGGGCAACATTCTTATAAAAACCTGAATCCGGAGTAGAAGTCGCCTGTTAGCCTGCTCTAATTTCTTCTGTCTGTGTTCTAATTCTCGGGCTCTCTGTTGTTCTTTCTGTAGCCACTTGATGTACTCCACTGATGCTTTGAGAATGGTTCCTTTGTTCCAGCGCATATCACTGTAGAACGGAGAGATAACCTTTTCACAATTGTGCATGTCAGCAGAATTCATAGGAACTTACAAAATCTTTTACATTAATATGAAATAATGATTTACATGACTATTATTCACTCTTAGATATTATTGCTTCTGAATAGAAATTTTAATAGAATAGTTAAGAAGCCCTTATATAGTAAAATTAATCCCAGAATGAAAATAAGTGTCAAAAGAAAGTAATAAAGTGACTTTTTGTGGGCGAGCTAAATGCAATATCATGATTCTACCATTACAGTTTTTATATTTTTAGTGAAAATTGCTTTTATTATTAACTCCAAGATTAAAATCTATGTGCAGTATTTCTGCATTAATGAACTAGGAAATGTACATTACTGAGGACTTAAGCCTAAATTTTTTAAGATCATTTCAAATGTACCAATCTTTTAACTTACTTTCTAATAAGGTTGCTTTTATGTTTCTAAGAAAAAAAAATAAAGTCCCTCCTGAATGGCGATCCAGAGTGATTGTGAGACAAATCAGACTTCGGGAACACCACCTCATGCAACAGAGCAAACTTTCTAAAATCACTTGGCCAATTATTCTGCACAAATGGCACTAATACTTTTTTAAAAGTTCAATATGGATAGTTATTTTTCAATAAGTCTAAGACAAATAAACACAATTAAACATTACCTGGTAACTTTTTAGGCTATAGCATAGCAAAATGATTTTGTTAAAGCTTATTTTTAAGACAGAAGAAATTATAGATATAGGATTGTGGAACAGGTTACTGATTTTGACAGCTAAAAATATCATTGGAAATATCCATGGATGTAATACACTAAGAGAATTAATAATACATTTGGAGAAGGAAGTCAAACTAATTGCTAAACATTAATTAGAGTTGAGGAATTTTCAACTTAGTCATGAGCTGTTTTTAGTACAGCATAAAGTAGGTAGGTATAAAAATGTTAATTTTTGGTTTATCTGATCTATGTGAAATATATTGAACTTAATGGGTATTTGTTAAGGATCAAAAGTAAGAAAATACAGCTTATGAAAGATCCTATTTGTATGTGTCTCTGGAAGCTGATGGGAGGTGACAATAACAAATTTAAGTACATTTTACTACTAGGAGGTAAAAATGTTTACTGGGTCGGGAATAACAGCTGATTTCTACTGCAATGCACAAGATCATTGTCAGTGTCTGTCTCAAGTTTGAAAATGCTTTGTTCTCTGGGGTCGTAATGCCTTTGGTCTCATTCTACCCACAGGGTGAGGGAAGTGGTTGAGAAGGGTGGGGAAAGAGGCTGCCTTTGCTGGGAAACCAGAAAGTATGTGTAACTGAAAAGTGTAGTGAACTCCGAGGCAGCAGGAGCCTGATGGACTTTTAATATGCGACAAAAAACTTGAAGGACAAAGGAATAGATAAAATGGATAACCCTAACACATTTGAAATTTAAAGTGCTGTTTATTTGGATAAAAAGATGAACGTTCCAAATGGTGGCAGAGAATGTACAATATGCCTATCTTCAATTTGTACCCCATGCTGTCTACAATACATTTGTTAAAAGTTCGTTCTATTTTAAAGCCATTTTAGTATATGAGGGTTCTTCTAAAAATATTTTAAGTTTTTAATATTTATTAAAGATATTTTGCCTCTAACCCAAGACAATTTCAAGGAGCTAGGCATTAAAAATATTGTATATGATGGTGTGATATAAACACGGACATATCAATAAAGGCATGGCATACAGAAAAAAAGTTTATTTTCTGCAAAACAATTTATTTTTGAGACAGGGTATCACTCAGTCACTCTGGGGTTGAGTGCTGTGGTAGTATAGCTCACAGCAACCTCAAACTCTTGGGCCCACAAGATCCTCCTGTCTCAGCCTCCTGAGTAACTGGGACTACAGGTGCCCACCTCAATGCCTGGTTATTTTTAGAGATGGGGTTGCACTCTTTTTTTTTTTTTTTCTGAGACAAGATCTCCCTATGTTGCCCTCGATAGAGTGCTGTGGTATCACAGCTCACAGCAAAATCAAACTCTTGGGCTTAAGTGATTCTCTTGCCTCAGCCTCCCAAGTAGCTGGGACTACAGGTGCCCACCACAACACTTGGCTAATTTTTTTTTTTTTAGTTGCAGTTGTCATTGTTTAGCAGGCCCAGGCTGGGTTTGAACCCACCAGCAGCAGTATATGTGGCTGGCACCCTACTCACTGAGCTATGAGCTCCGAGCCAGGGGTTGCCCTCTTAATCAGGCTGGTCCCAAACTCCTGAACTCAGGCAATCCATGAGTGCTAGGATTTGGCCTCCCTTGAGTGCTAGGACTACAGGTATGAATCACCATGCCTGACTTGCAAAATAGTTTTCTTTGAAGAACTTAAAACTTTTGGTGGATTGAAAGCCTATATTATTTTCTCTTCTGGCCTCATCACTTTGACCTTCAAAGAAATAAAAATTTCTGAATATTTTCATACATAAAAGTAGAAATTTCTAGAATTCAAAGTATCTTTGGATATTAGCTTTGACCTCCTAACCCAAATCCAAAGTTTATTCCAATCATGAGCTGGAAAAGTCATCACAGGTCACACACTCTGTGATTTGCCCAAGAGTTGATGGTGTTTAGAAGATAAGCCCCAAGTCTCCTCATTCAATGCTCTTTCTGCAAACCTATGGCTTTCCAGCCTTTTCAAATGTATTTGTCGAAATAAATGAGTTTTATATTGTGATTCAGTGCTCTCTTAGCACATATAACTGCAACAAAGATTTCACAAGATACTACTATCCTCCTTATATGGAATAAGTAATAATCTAATATTTTCAATGTTATTCTTTTTTGTTTGTTTAAAAAGATGTTTCTGTCCCATTTGATTGATTTCATGATCCATTAAAAGGTATGGCATATAAATTTGAAAAATTCCATACTAGATGATTGTATAGTCTGATATATTTTTTAAAAGTAAAACTGTTTTAAGTCATTTTAATGGTTATCATCACCTACTGAACAAATTATTCTGAAAATTAGTTTGATCTTTTTTTCTTTGAGATGCACTTTTTGTTGATTTCGCCATTGTCCTAAGGTGGTAATGTTTCCTCCACTGTCTCACCTGCCTCTTCTGTATTATACCCACACTTTTCCCCCGGTATTCTTGTTTTCTGTGACTTTTAGGTTATCCATAGTAATATCTGAAAATTCAATAAATTAATCCAAAACAATTTTTTAGAGTAGAAGCCAGACTCTACTTCTCAGGTAAAGTCCATCTTCAGTCTACACTCTGGATTCCCCAACGAGACTCTCAGTGCTGAGCCTTAGAGCGGAACACCAGATGAAGAGGGCAGGCCACAGTGAGCCAAAGAGCACATGGATTAAAGCAGAATTAGTACTGAGATTCTTGGAATGCCACACCTTCAGTGAAGTGTCTTCTCTTCTTGTGTTATCCAGACATCTAATGAATGTGTTTTCAACTAGACCCAAATAAATGTCATGTGCCCATATACAATGTAATAGAATTAAAACCAATAACAACCCTCCTTTCTGAAATCCTTAAGGAAGAGAAAAACACTTAAGAATGCTTACAATGAAGTTATCCCTATTATGGTCCCTTTTAGATATGATTCTGTAGTAGATTGATTTTTCATATTCTAGAACATGGGTAGACAAACCATAGGCAATAGTCTGTTTTTGCCATTAAAGTTTCATTGGATGGGGTCATGTTCATTCATTTGTATATTGTCTATATCTGCTTTTGTGCTATAATGGCTGAGTTAAATAATTGGGACAAAGACTGTATGATTGACAAAGCTTGAAATGTTTACTCTCTGGCCCTTTAAAGGAAAATTGTGCCATTCGGCCAAGGGTGGGGGTACCTGCAGCCACAAGGCTGCCCATGGCCCTCCAGATGTAAAAGTATGGCCCCTCCACCCAGTCCAAACTTTACCTTTTAGAAAAGGGATTTGTTCTGTACAATTTGCATTCTTTCAGGAGGTCACACTCAAGGATCCAGAAGGTCACATGTGTCCCCAAGACTACAGGTTCTTCAGCCCAGAAAGGAGTTTTCAGATAATCAAAGCTTTTATGTGGAGTGATGATACTCTCATACAAACTTTATAATTTGCCAAATATTCTCATACACTTTATTTGATTTTATTTTTATAAAAACCCAGTCATATGGGGAAGACAAGCATTTTCTTCTGCTAACAGAATCACATGCTTAAAGATTAAAAAAAATTTGAAGACTTTTTAGTAGAGCCCAGACTAGGATGGAGTACATGCATGAGGACAAACATTATATTACTTCGTATCATAAATTGTGGAATTGTCCAAGTGAATTAGAAAGTTTAGATTCAAAGGGAAAGTGCTTGAATCTCATAAATATTTCTCTATCAAACATGATCATTTTGGACAATGGATAATTTCCAGTACTTAAAGAGGTCAGTTCTCAGTTTGAGTGAAACATTTTCAAATCATTATTAAGGCTACATATCACGTTTTATGTTTTTTTAAGAAACAGTCAACATTCTAAACTGACACTTTGATTACCTATTTCTTCAGATTTATAAGCTCCACGTGTTTGACTGACATTGCATGTGTTTGACACAGAACTTGGTTAGCATTAATCAACAAGCTTTGGCAATTCCCTTTTGTACTTATAGGTCTTCAGAATTTTGGGACCCCAGAAAATGTGGAAATTCTTTTTCCATGTGCACACAAATCTTAAGTTGGGAGAACTACAGTGGCCATAAATCAAATATAGCAGTCAGCATCATAAATAGCATTTGGCATTATCACTAAATTTGCCAGTATTGTCACTACACAGAAAGACCCACTATGAACTAAGGAGAAGTAATTTACTTATTTCCTACAGCTCGAAAGGACAATCTTAGTAACAGCTTTGATGTTTAATAACAATCAGTCTAGAGCAGATATTTTTAAATGAGACCAGCAATAGCTTTATCTTGGCCATAAGCTGCTTAGTTTTCTAGTCACTGGTTTTCTCCTCCCTCCTTCCCTCCCACCCATTTTTGGGGGTATTGAAACCATAACGTTATTACAGAAATGATTGTGTAACTCACGGATCATTAGACTTTGGAATAAGAGTGCCAAGCTCCTTGATTCGGTAATTAATATTATACCTCCTTCTTCTTTCAACTATTAAAGAAGAAATATTATTGATTATTCTCATTAAAGGACAGTTTGCTTTTGGTCAGCTGTAAACTTCCCTAATAATCTCTTAAAAACAATGGACAGAAAAAAATTCATTTAGTCAAAAGATAATACTTCTCAACTCTAATATAAAAATTCAAACGTATCTTATTCTAAAAGTCGAAGTTACAATATTGGAATTGTAAATACATGATTTACAATGCTTTAAAAACATTTTGTCATAAAACATTTTTTCAGTCTTTGAAATGCAATATTTATTCATACTGAAATGTATGTCTGTATGTGTTCGAGTGTATATTTTATACGTATTTACGTTTATTCAGTTTGACACATTTCATTTCACACACAGGCAATTTGTTAATCCCTGAGGATTGTAATCTTTCCGGGTCAGGTACCATGTTTTACTCTTCCCAAATACTCTCCTGAAAGCCTACCACGATGTTTATCACATAGTAGGTATGTGTGTCCCCATGACACACATACCTACTATGGCATCTTCCAGGGCAGAGACCCACCATCTTACTGATGTTTTGTATTACCAGAGGGCTTGGAATACTGGAGATGCTAAGTAAATAGATATTGATTAGATTGTGAATTTACTTTTTTCCCTTATCTAGCATTCATATATATATGTATATACACACACATATGTATATATAACTGATACATATCATTTGCTAATATGTGCAAGTATACACATCATATATACAGGATGTTCATAAAATTCCTGTGCGATAGTTTACTATTTTAAATTGCACATGAACTTTACAGCCACCCTATAGATCAATGGCTATGTCAGTGGTTTTCAAGCTTTGGTGTGCCTCGGACACACCTGAAGGGATTGTTAAAATAGAGATTTACTGCAGACCTGGAGATTCTGATTTTAGTAGGTTGAGAGGGGTAGAAAGGGACAGGCAAGAGTTTGTACTTCCAAGTTCCCAAGTGATGGTGGCGCTGTTCACGTGAGATCAGTGCTGTGAGAACGACTGACACAGGCTCTTATTCAGAGGCTACTAATGGTGCACTCATTCCTGTGCATTGCTTAAGGCAATTTTATGCATCACATAGTAAATGTTTAATGACATTTAGGCATTAGACTTTATAGCAACAGTCGATTTTCTATATTGACTCTTCCCTGAGAGCAGTCTACTATGCTACATTCCCAGTATTAAGAGTGATAACATATATGGATATGTAATGTTGTAATAGATTACACATCTAAATCTTTCAGAGAAATGAATATAGAAAAGACTATAAAGAAGAAGAAAAATATATCTAAAATATTAGAAAATACTAGTATAATATACACTTGAAAATTAAGATCTGCTTTGGAAACAAGGAAAGTAACTTAAAACCGTTCATTGTCTTGGTGAACTTACTCTAAGACATAAATTATCACGAATGGACTTGACATTTAGGAATAACATTGGCCTCCTCCAAAGATCAGAATAGAATTGATTCTTGAGAGTGTTTTCCCTCACCAGTCCTGTTTCCCCTGTGCATGTGATTCAAAACACAG